ACGTGCACACAAGCACGCATGTGCACACGCACATGTGCGAGGTCTCAGTCTGCTCCTGGGTGACCCTGTCACCTCCTCTGTCTCTCTCTCTTGCTTCCTCTCTCGCCATGTGATCTGCTTGTACCCGCCGGCTGCCTGCTCGCCATGTGATCGGCTTGTACCTGCCGGCTACCTGCCACTTTTCATCATGAGTAGAAGCAGCCTGAGGCCTGTGCCAGATGCAGCTGTCTCAGAATCGTAAGCCAAATAAACCTCTTTTCCTTATAAATTACCCAGTCTCAGGCATTTCTGTCATAGCAACACAAACGAACTGAAACAGAGCCCAACCCCGAGATAAGATGGGGGATGTCAGACAACTCACTGCAGAAACCCGAGCCGGTCGATGCGTCTGTAGATTTTGAACTCCTCATCCCAGTTTTTCACCAGTGTCCCAGCTCGGTGTCCCTGCAACCCCGAGAGGGCATGGAGTGAGGGGGCCATGGTGATGGGTTGGGGCATGGGTAGCTTTGGATCGTTCCTCCCTCCCCTGTGTCCCCAGGGAGCCCATGCCCCTTTGACCTCAGGGACAGCAGGAGAGGCCAGGACTTGCCTGCCTCAAGGGAGCAGCCAACCGTTTACCTGCTGGTACTTCTCTATGATGTCTATCACCTCCTGGGCCCACAGGGTCTTTATACCCGTCTTCATGTTTAATCTGCAAGACAAAAGTAATCCAAAGCTAGCACTGACCCTGAGAGCTTCAGAGAGTACCCCTAACTGCTCAGGTCGGGGATCCAAAATTCCACCAGCAACACCCCCACCCTCCACCCCAACCCCCAGTACAAAGGGACCAGACTCTGTCTCTACCCCACAGTGGTCTTGGGGGTTTCTTCCTCTGGCCAAGTTTAAACTCCTGTCTGAGGACCTGAGAACCAGGGACCTGGAAGGTGAGGCCTGTTGTCCCTAAGGTCCCTGCACAGACACACGCGTGTGTTACCTGCTCAGCACGAAGGGCCCCGATGGGCCATTCTGGGCACCAGGAAGCAGAACATGATTTAGAGACCACAGGTCTCTATACAATTAGTCTTCCAGATGATCTCAGGAAACACACGGTCGTCCAATTCTTTAGAGGCAAAAAGAAATCTCATGACTGCTGCATTCTACTTAAGTCTTAGCACCAGCCAAGCAGGAAGGTTCTGGGTTTGGGCAAAAGGGTGACCTATGTGACTTTGAAGTAGCCTCTGTGCTTGTTGAGGCCATGCCTTGGGCAAGAGGGACACTGGAGTTTCCAGTTCTGAGCGTGGCAGTATCAGAAGAGGCTCCGTCTTTTTCCCAGGCACAGATGAGAAACTAGTGAGCTCTGGGGATGTGTCCTGGAGCACAGTCAGAGACATGGTCCCACCTTGGAGATGGTCCCAAGGGAACACCCGTGAGGGGAGGCACAGATGAGACCTCTAGAGGACGAGACAGGGCAGGACACAGAGGGTGAGCCCCTTTCCCCACACCCTGGCCTGCAGGGCAGACACTTGTCACCTGCCTGGCATCCCTCATTGGTTCCTTCCCTGTCCACAACTGCCCCAAGACAGAGGGCTCCCCACCTTGCTCCCGGCCTAGGGACCTCAAAATTGGGTGGGCCTTACATAGGCCGAAAGTGATGCTCTATGATGTCAGAGGTGACCAGATGCCGACCTGGGGCAACCCATCTCCCATCACAGACCAGGGCGCAGGCCGCCCCTCCACACCCACTCTCCATCTTCACAGCCCATGGAGACCCCACTTCAGTGGCTCTTCCAGGGGCAGGC